GTGCGCACAGGCAGGGAGTGCAAAGGTGCATGCGCAGAAGAAGCAGTGAGATCTCCTTTCTCTGGTGGGCAACCATCGCTGCTGGTGGGGTCCACTGATGACCCACCTTTCTGAAGTCAAACCTGGGCTGGGGGGTGCAGGTGGGAGAGGTGGGAGGTCCCGGGAAGAGCAGGAGGGCCACCCCACCTCTTCTTAACCTCCCTCCTGAAGGGCAGTTGGGTGTGTTTCCAAGGATGCTGGGGGGGGGGTCAGAGAGACCCAGCCTCACCTTGGCAGCCCCACCGTGGTCTTCTTCTCCAACTTGACCCCAGCCTGAATTGCTTTACCCAGCAAGAATTCCCCCTGCCTCTCCCCCCCCCCAAAAGTGTGTTCTGCGTTTCTCCCAGGAAGGAGAAGCAAGATATTAAATTTAAGACACATGGAAGAAAGCAGAAGAACAGCCCAGATCGCTCCATGTCTGATTTACTCACACTCTCAAAATGTGAAAAATGGTGGCCGGATGATTAGTACGATTTCAATCACACTCAGACACTGGGGCATTTCTCCTTCCCCCTCCCTTTTCCTTATTTTTCAGTCTGAGCTCTGAGTTCTGGGATTTCCCTCCCAGACTGCAGCCTTTCTGCATTGAAGTGCTCAGCAGCACCGATCCTGCCTGCCTGCCTTGCGAAAACATGCGTTGGCCAGGCAGGAGATGCCCAGCCCTGTGTGGGAAACAGAAGAAAAGAAAGAAACGCAAGGAAGTCGAGGGGGACACGAGGCGCGCGGAGAGTGGGCCTGCTGCAGGGTTTACTCTTGGCCACTTACAGGATTGGCCGTCCTCCTTCCCTCCGGTCAGGAGGGGAGCGGCTCCCTGTTTCTCCTCTAAAGCAAGCCAGTTGCACGTGGAGAAATGGGCCTGCTGCAGGGTTTACTCTTGGCCACTTGCAGGATCGGCCGTCCTCCTTCCCTCCGGTCAGGAGGGGAGCGGCTCCCTGTTTCTCCTCTAAAGCAAGCCGGCTGCACGTGGAGAAAGGGTCTTCTTTAAATGGGGATGAAAAAAAAATCTTCTGCTCTGGATAGCTGTTTTCAGCGGCCATTCTTTCTAATTTCCAAAGTTCTTCTCCATGAGGACTAGAAAGTTACTTTTAAAGACGATGCTGCAGAGGAGGAAGCAAGGAGGGGGAGGAGGACTCCTAGACTTTCAGTTCTGTTAAGATAAATGAACAGGCTTCCCAATTTGGGATCCTGAGGTGAGGAGTCAGATTTGCAGGAAATATTTTACAAAGGAACACAAAACAAAAGAAAAAGGCAAGGAAAGGAGAAGAAGGGCCTTGTGGTGTCTTAAAGGCTAACAGCTATACTTGAGTGGAACACGTCCCGCTTCATCAGAGAGAAGAGTCAGGAAGCAGAAAGACTGCAGGGCGAAGCATCCAGGCAAGGTTCGGAGGTGTGTGTGTGTGCGTGCGTGCGTGCGTGTGCATGTCTACATTTTACCATGTGATTTATGACCCCTGTTTCGCATCCAGTTCTTTCGAAGCCTGCCAGGTTCTGAAGACGGCAGCATGATTTCCTGTTTCGCATTCAGTTCTTTCGAAGCCTGCCGGGTTCTGAAGACGGCAGCGTGATGTTCACCCTGATGCTGAAGTGCTCGCACAGACTAACAGGGCTATGAGACCTATGAAGAAACATTCTGGCTCTTTTTTAAAAAAAAGAAGCCTGGCAACGGGGCTTGGGCGCATCTTCTGGAAATGCTCCATCCTTGCAGGATGGGGGGTGGTGGTGGTGGGGATGGGGCTAGGCTATTGTCTCCCCCTCCCCTCCCCTCCCCTCCCCTCCCCTGCTTGCCTTCAAAGAGGGAAGAGAGGCTGGCTGAATTATTCATTGTCCATCTCTTGTCTCATGAATAGCGGGCGCGCTGTTCCAATTAGCCTCTGATCTTATCCTTCTGCTCTCCTCCCCCCAAGCCCCTCCTCTGCTCATTCCGCTGAGGAACAAGGAAAGAGCCCTGGGTGAAACTCCAAGGGAAGGAGGCCGTTGCTTCGACATGCTCAGAGGCACCCCGGTCTCCACTCTTACTTGGCTGCAGAGCTGAGCCTGGCTGAGTCTCCCCCCCCCCCGAAACTGGCCAGGGGGGGAAGTGGGTGGC